CTGCTGCCTGTCATAACCTCTTCTCAATCCTATTGTCAACCTCCTATGACCCAGCTGGGTACTTTTGGGGGAAGAATCTTCAGCTAGTGTCCTAAAACAGATTCTAGAAAGCCAACCCTATTTGCTTTGTGGCTGTCTCAGTCTTGCAGTGGGGGTTCCTGCTTGTGTGAGTGGGAGGCTGGTGTGGCTGCACCGCCACCCCCCACCTCACCCGCGGCTCCTGCCTCCATCTAGACAATGGCCGGGCCGGCATGCGCCGCCAGCCTGTGATGGACAGACTTGGCTCAGGTCCTGTTCTGGCCCCTGTGATCCCACTCCGGGTTCTCTGGGCTTGGCCCCTATTGCCCTTGGCTGGGGTTTGTTTAATGGAGTGACTTCTGTCTGGGAGCAACCCAGAGCTCAGGACACAGGGAGACAGTTGTCCAAGCTTGTTATTTTTTTCACCAGAGGAGCCAAACCACATCGATGGGCTCAGTGGCCTGGCTGGGTGCCTTCCTCATTCCTCCCACTAGCCCGGGCTTCATTCCCCTGGCTGGCCCCGGCTACTGGTGGCCTCTGGTTTAGGACTTCTAGTTACCCACTGGGAGGCCTCTTGGGTTGGAGTCTGGTCCTTCATAAGGGGAGAAGAGAGATCTGGGTACCGAGAAAGCAGCCAAAGCAGAGAGAGATCCCTAGGGACCAAGGATTGGCCCAAGAGAGCAGTAACCACAGCATATTCCTCCCTCTAGCCCCAGGGCCTGGCGCAGAGTAGGTCCTAGAAGAATGAGTAAAGGGTTGAGATGGATGAATGAATGGGTAGATGAGTAAATAAATAAGTGAAGACTCTTAGATTCATGCGGGCATTCTGATAAAAGTCTAATTTGATTCCTTGGCCTAAATGTGGGCAAGAAGGAAGAAGAGACCTACCTCTAGAAGGTGCAACCCTCCTATCCCTGAATCTAAAGGAAATCTCTCAGCCCAGGCCCTTTACGGTATGTCTTTGAGATTCCTTGAAGGTCTGGGCTTGGGTGAAACTGGCTTTTCCTCCATTTTCATGTCTACCTCTCAGGCTGCTTCTTGCAGTGGCTATCTCGCCCACTAGAATGTGCGCCCTGCACCGGGCAAGAAAGCAATGAGTCCCGGTGGAGGTGGGTGGGAGATGTGGTTCCAGCTGCCAGGGGTGCCAGGTGCCACAGAACTGGGTTCTGGAACGAGATATTTTAGGCTGGGGCTAAAGAGTTACGTGCTTGGACCAGGGGATGGAGAAAGTTTCCAGCACCTAACACAGGGGCCTGGCATATAGGAGGCACTCATTAAGTATTTACTGAATGCATGAATGAATAAAACATTTCTATATCCTCTTCTCTCTGGCTGACACCCCAAAATCCTTTTCTAGGGAGCTCTGGACCACTAGGGACCCCCCTCTGGGGGTAGAATGAATCAAGGTCAGTAGCACGCTGAAAGAAGAAGGGACAATGTGCATGCCATCCCAAGCTCTCCTCACTGCCCTGCCACCCACAGTCCCCTCCTTCACCCTGACCCTCCCCTCCCCTGCCTACCACTAGCAACTGATTTGTTGTGTTGATCCAGAAGCTGGGGGCACCAGGAGGGAGCGACACACAGCTACCCTGTGTGTACATGAGTGAGTGTGTGATGGTTTCAAGCTCTGGGAAAAGGCCTCCTCACCTTTCTGGCTGGGGTGTAGGATGCTACATGGGACCGTTGGGTGTGGGGGATGGAAGTTGGTTCTCTGCTTGGGAAGGGGGTTTGGCTGATGAGGGAGAGACAGGCATCTCCACACCAGCAAACCCATAGCTGTGGGGTGTGGAGATCCCCAGGCCCAAAAGATCTTCTCTGGAGCCGAGATCTTTGGGGAAGTGCTCAGAGCTCCTCAGGGGCCCTTGCTGGTGGGGTTTGATCACTATTCTCTGTTGCAATGTGCCTTGGGAGAGTCCAAGTGGGAGACTTCCCTCTGAATAAGATCTAGAGAGCCAGGGATTTGAGGCCCTAAGAGGCCTGCCGCTCTTTCGGCGTGAGTCCAGCCATTTTCTGAGCAGACACAGGAGAGCTGTTGGCTCAGGGCAGGCAAGGAAAGGCTTCCGAGCCAAGGGAAAACAATTAGGAGTAATTACCATCAAAAGAGGCCTCCAGTGAGGGGTGAGGGTGGGAAAGGCCATCCGTTTAGAAGGAAGATGAAAGTGGCAGACTGATTTTGGGGAAAAACTAGGGGAGAGGGTGGGAGGAAGGGTTGAGAGTGTGTGTGTGTGTGTGTGTGTGTGTGTGCTGTCTTTCTTTTCCAGGAAGAGGGTAGGACCCCTCCCCCGCCAGCCTCTAGCTGAACTAAGTTCTGCTTAGACAGGGCCAAGGGGCTCAGTGCATGGGGGTGGGAGGTGGAGGAGAGGGTGGGCACAGGGCTGTGCATTCCTGAGATTCTCAAACCAGTCAGAATGGCAGAGGAAACTCCATACTGAGGACACACAGCGGCATGAGACACAGAGGTGAAAAGATAAATCCCTACACGTGCAGGCATCCAGCTCATCCCCACAGCAGCTCACCCACTTGCCCACTTGCCCACCTGAGACCCTCTGTGAAAGGTCTGGATCTTGGTGCCTCCCTGCCTTACCACCCTCAATCCTTAGGTTTCCCCTTCTGTGTTAAGACCAGAGACCTTGAGAGAAAAGACTTTTGCTAATGTGGGCAGCCAAGAGCTGAGGATGAAAGTGGGAGGCAGAAAGAAAAAGGATAGATAGGGAAAGAGTTGTTATGGGAGGGGGAGGGGAATTCTTTGTTACCCGGTGTCTGGAGAAGCCAAGAGAAAATGAACCCAAAGGCAGAGAGACCCCATCATTCCCCTTGACCCTCCAAACTAAGCTGAAAAGACAAATAAGGACCTCAATCCTGCTCATGAGAGAAAAGAGGCAGGATGACTTTGGGGACCTTAACGAAGCTTCTCTTCTTTGGTCTCACTTTAGCTGAGCCCCCGTGACACCACATTAGGCATTTCCCCTGTTGAGATGAAACAATGTTGGCCACGTGAAAGCAGAGAATCCTCATGCTTTTAAGGGCTTTGGAGTCATATGCTCTTGACCTGGAGTCCCTGTTTCCATCACTGACAATCCGTGAGACTTGAGGCAAGTTATTCCATCTCCATGTCCTCATCTTCTCATCTGAGAGAGGGGGATAATAATGGGACCTACATCACAGACTCAGGAGGATTAAATGAAGTACTGCATGTAAAGTGTTTGGCATTTAAGTCTGGGGCCAGTGTGGTAACTAATATTATTAATACTATTGGAAGAAGACAGCTCTAACTGCTAAGTGGACAATGAACTGAAAGCCAGAGACCCTCAGTAGGAGGCACTGTAAACCAGACACAAGGAGGTAAGAACTTGGAATAGGATGGAGGCTATCATGCTGGAAGTGAGGCACAGCTCAGAGATGCTAACTAAGGACAGCAATTCATTCCTTCAACTATTTTCTCCTTCAACTGTTTAGGCCTCTGGGATACAAAATGAGCAGAACAGACATTTTAGTGAGAAGGATAGAACAAATCAGTAAATACAGGCTAAGCATCCCAAATATGAAATCCAAAATGCTTTGAAATCTGAAACTTTTTGTGTACTGATATGAGGCTCAAAGCAAATGCTCATTGGAGCATTTTGGGTTTCAGGTTCCAGATTTGGGATGCTCAACCACTAAGTTAAGTATAATGCAAATATTCCAAAACCTGAAAAAAATTCAAAATCCAAAACACTTCTGGTCTCAAGCATTTCAGATAGGAAATACTCAACTTGTGATAGAGTCAGCTGATGCTAAGTACTATGGAGAAAAAATAGAGGGTAAGGAAGCTACAGAGTATAAGGATTGGGGTGTGGGATGACATTCCACTAAAGCCTAGGGAAAGCAGTGAGTAGAATGGCCCGAGGTGAAAGCAAGCTTGGACAAACTGGGGGCCAGTGTGGCCAAGGCAAAAGGAGCAGGGAGTGGTGACGGTGCTGCTAAAGAATGGTGGGTCAGCTGTGCAAGACCTCGTAGGCCATTCCAGACAGAGATTACAGGCTGATGGGAGATAGAGCACTGGTAGGTTCAGGAAGAGTGCTTCTCAAATGAAGAATTTATTAAGGGGGGGAAAAAGTATCTGAGAGCATTTCTTAAGGAACAGGCACCTCACCCCCTTCCCTCTGTAACTTTCTGCAGAGCCCAACACCAGGGTGTGGCTGGGGAGAGGTGGACTGTGACTCATGGTCGGATCCAGGTCCCCACTCTGAGGGACACTCTTTTCCATGTGGTGACAGACAGTGCAGATCCAGGCAATCATCAGCTATCTTTAACCACATTCGGGAATCAGAAAATAAAAAAAAGGTGGCTTGAAGGCTTCCCTCCTCACTCCAACCATTTTCAAATGACTGAAAATCTTAACCATGCCCAAAAAACCCTTATAACCTGAGAACATATGGGAGACTACAGGGGTCTCCTAACCCAACATAGATAAAACTGTTTCTCCAAAATAGCAGATTTTTGAGAAGTTGGTGCTTTCTCATCTTTTACTCTTCAGAATGAGTTTTAGAGGCAGAGCCATGGGAAGCACTTCTTTGAGGTTCTACTGTGAGCCAAGAGGATTGCAGGAGAGGGGCAGGGAGACAAGGGCTGCAGTTAGCAGGGTAGGCTGGAGTCCTGACTGGCGTGTTTGGCCTCAGGAGGGTCCTCTGGCAGGCTCCACAGACAGGTTTGTTTTTTAAAAGTGCCAGAGAGACACAGATTTGCATGTTATTTGTGTTCCAGGCTTCACTTCCAGGTATGTGGAATGAAATAAATGAATGAACAGTATTCAGACTCCTGGGTAAGGGGTGGACTCAGAAATCCAGACCACACTGAGGATCCAATCACTGGTCCAGCTTGGATCAGGAGACACAGACACAGACAGAGACAGAACAAACAGTTGCAGAGACAGGGAGACAGTCTTAGAGAGACAAACAGCATCAAGTCCTTTTTACCAGGGAGTTTCCAATCAAAGCAAGGAAGCAAAATTCAGAGTTTATTTTAAATAAATCAACTTTTAAAAAACTAGGGAGAGTCACACATAGATAGGCAGATAAAGGCAACATTATCCCTGACTTATCTCCACCTCTGCCCCCCCTCTATCCTCCACTTCTAGCTTCATTCTGAACCTCATGCCCTACTGAGTCTGCCTTCTTGATAAGCTTGATTGCTTGGTGTCTCCCAAATTAGTTAACTATAACATCTACGGACTGTAAGACCCTGAGGACAAGGTGGCTTTTATTTCCTTGGTCAAACCATCTCTTCACTCCACCTTTCAGGGCCCCCACACCCAGTGCTTAAACATATGCTTATTAACACCTAGCATAAGAGGCTCCCTAGAAGTAAGGAACCCAGAGTCTCAAGCTGTGAGGGATGTAAACCATCATTGGAAAGAAAAAGGATGGAGGTAACTGTATTTAACAGAAAGATGAATGGTTAATCACTTTGATAAGTCCCATGAGACAGAGACTGACATTCCCCAAAGGGCATGCTGAACTGCTGAGGAAGGTGTTTTTGTTAAAGGCAGGGTGCTGGCATTAGGTTTGGGGTCTGAGGCGAACTGTTTGGTACCACAAAGGAGATTGCAGGCTGCCACGAGCAGTCTTCCTTCCTCCTATGTCTGCATGTTGTCTTTCTAAATAAATGCTTAATAGAATTCTTACCCCTACCTCATCCCTGGCAGGCCACAAAGAAACAGCTTATGCTCCTGGTTTGAAAAAAAGCACTAAATCATTCACCTGCCCTTAGTGGCTACAAGTCTCAGTCCATTCTTGATGTAAAAGACAGATTACAATACAAATGCCATCTGGAATCATATTTTCTGGTTATAAGGGATACAGATTTCCAGATAAAAGATTGTAAAATAATGTGATCAGAGAAGGCTTCACAGACATGAGATTTGGGTGTGCATGCTCAGTAGATATTTGTGAGAGGAACAAAATTACAGTAAATTGAATGAGCAATACCCAGCAGACTGGACTCTGGGCTCCTCATAAGCCACTTTCTCACACTCTTTCCTTTCCTTGCTAGCACTTGTGTTCTGCACAGGGTAGGACAATCTCCAGATTAGTCCTACTCCTCAGTTTAGAATGGAGAAAAGTCTGCAGCAAGGGTGTGTGCATTTGGACAAGACTCTGATGTAGGCCTTAACTCTAAAACCAAGCCAGTGTTAGCACTAGCTTTAAACTTTAACTGTGAATCTCTGCCTTGCTGATTCCTATTGCCAGCAGCATATGGCCTTTGACAACATTCCAGAATCTTAGAGTTTAACAAGACCCTGGACATCCAATCCAATCATTCACACAATTGGAATTATCCCTACCATCTCCCCAACAGGACAGAGAGACAGCATGCACTAACATTTCCTCAAGGTTTATCTTTCAGCTCAAAGTCTCCTAGTTTCTCTTTTCTCTCCCACAAGAGATACCTGTGTAAGTTCTCCCTTATTTTAATGGGTGACCACCATGACCTTCTACCCCATCTCCCTTTCCACCTCCAAAGCTGGGAATGGTAGTTATGTGTTCTTAATAGACAGATCTCAGGATTCAGCACAGGTGAAAATGAGGCCCTAGACGATAAGGAAAGATGCTGGGCTGAGCCTCACTTGTCTCCTCCCAGATTTCAGGATGAACATGCAGCTGTGGACATGTTGCTCCTGGGCAGGGAAGTATGGCACCTTTCTCAGGAGCTCAGCATGTAGCCCATTTAACAACAGGGTCAAATAGCCTCTTTTTCTGACTCTCTTGGGTATGTGAACTTTCAGGATAAAAGCATCATATTCCACCTCATGTTGCCCATCCAGATGGAACAAAGGAAAAAGACAAACCACAGGTGTCAGTCTCTCTTACTACGGTAAGACAAATTTAAGAGCTGGGAGGATGGCACAGAAGGATCACAGACTAAAACATTAAAAACACTGGGGCTCTTAAATGAACACTCCCCCTCTCTACCCACTAGAGCCTTTTATGAGCCATGTAAAACCTGGCAGCAATGGACAGGCTATAGGGATGGGATTGGTGGAAGTGCTTTTCCAAGTTATCTGTTTCTACCCCAAGACCACTAAAACATGGGTAAACACTGCTGCGGGCAGTGTGTAGAAGATGCTAGTATGATTACAGTGGCTAAAAATGGGAGAAGTTGACACCACATGGAAGTATGAAGCACCCCAACTGGACAGGAGTCTCCAGGCTGGATGAGGAGAAAGTCCTCCTACATTCAACCTTGAAAAAAACTCCTGGGAGCAAGAGTGGGGCCTAGGGGATAAATAGGATGTAATTAGCCTCTGTGCCTCAGACCATGTGTTCTCAAATGGGCAGGAACAATCTATCTCACATTCTTTGTACAGGGTCCAGGAGTGACTGTTAGTACTGTGGTTTCTGTTCTAGTTTCTATATCTGGCATCTGGTGTTTATAATCCCTCAAGTAATCCTTTTTTAGGGGAGGTAGGTTATTATGAGCACTGAACAAAGGGGAAAGGGGAAAATGGGAGAAAAGGAAAGCAATAGGCTTATTCAGTTTAAAGCAGGTTAAATAAGATATTAGTAACATGCTCTTGGGCCATGAAATGCAGAAACATCTTCGTTCTTTCCTGGTTGTCAAAGCCTACCCCTAAATGAAGATAAAAGTTTCTAGATACTAGTCCTGCTCTTGTTGGCTAACTCTCTGGAAATACTGGCACACTAAATAAGTCTATATGTGGTTCCCATCAAGCCCCACCCTGGGATACAACCTATCTCTCAGCTTGGCCCACTCCTACCAGGTTTGGGGTGGTAGGGTGGTCTCAGGATCACTAACTTCTACCTTCTGCACTGGTCAGAAAGGGGGGCCAAGTTCAGACAGGCTCAACAATTCCTTATATATTTTTCAAAGTGCTTTTGTTGCATGTTTCATTTTCTGCTATACATGGCAATAAATATTTGTTGCTTTGGTCTGTACAAAAAGTCTATGAGGAAGGTAAGACAGGTGTTATCTAAATGGAAAAACAATAAATACAGAGAACTGTCTTGTTCTGAGTCCCTCAGACAATGGTGAAAGAATCTGAAAAACTCAGGTCTTCTGATTCATAGTCCAAATATACACCATATTGCCACCTCTCAAGTTGTCACTTAAATACAGAAAGTACCAAGAATTAGACAATATTCCAGGAGTCCTGCAATGAGTCTGCATGCTATAGCTCTCTAAAAGAGAATGTGAAAGTCCCCAGCAACCCATATATAGAAAGCTATTTATTTCCTACAGAAAATATCAAAAAAATAGGGAGAAAAAAAAAGAAAAGAAAAAAAGAAAGAGAGAGAGAGAGAAAGAGAAAGAAAGGAGGAAAGGAAAAAACACACAAAACGTAGTCTTTCCCCAAAAGGCAGGCAGTTATGAAAAAGGCAGGACATCTAGTTGCTGGAGTGGAAACAGTAACATTCAGTTAACAATGGAATATTTAAAAAAAATAGTTTTCTTTTCAAATTGTAACTGTGGTAAAACATAGAAAAATGTACTAAACAAGCTTGGTATAAAACAGAGTAAAATTTTCAAATAAGCCCAAGGAAAAGCACAATGCTGGAAAGAATGGGGTACAAGGGGAGAGGAGAAAAAGATTTCATACAAAACTACCTATAACAATACAGAAAAAAGTATAAAATGTTCCTATTTTGGAACTTAAGTACAAAATGACACTGGCATTGGATCATTTCACTATCTAGCCTGAGGAGCTCTCAGAGGGTGGGGGGAGATGCTAGAAAGAACAAAAGGAATAGCAGTTTTTAAATCTCAAGTTGATCAGTCCAAACTCCACCCGTTTTTCAACTGAAAATCTCACCTCCCTCTGTAACTTCTATCCCTAAGCCAAAGTTCATCCAGGCCTCAAAATACTCCATTAGGAAGTCCACAAACACCCTACACATAGGGGCTGGGATCTGCGTGTGCTGGAATCTGAAAAATGGAAATAAATCTACAGGCTAAATGGTGAACACATTCAGTCTTTTTAAAAAAAGCATATCCCTGTGAAATATATGTGTGTGTATGTGTGTGTGTGCGCACATGTGTATATGAAGTTTTCTGTGGTTAGAAACATATTTAAACTACCTAGCCACAGACCAAACTAGACCTGCATTCCTCCAACGTTGGAATTCTATGCTAAAGACTGAGGTCCTTCTTCTTGGTCAGAAGTAGGTGGCAGTAGAAGTGGTGCTCTGTCGTTCCACTGGACCGCTCCCTGGGTGGGTCTGCTCCATGACATGTGCTGTTAGCACATGCAAACCCCTGCTCTTAAGGAAAGGACTGCTTGGGACTTTGGGGTCCATCCAGGGCTCATGTGCTGTGCCTCAGGATGAGATGAAGCTACAGATGATAAACAGCCTTGTATAGAAGCAGATGGATTTCATATAGGGACACATAAATAGGAAAAGTCCTGGGGGCAGGACTTAAGCATGTGCCCCAAAGTCCAGTTTACAGTCACATTCCTGACTACACATATTGAAAATCGCATGTGTATGTAAATGTGCACATATATGCTGGTGGTTTTTATCCCTACCTTTTGCTCATGCCCTTTCCTACTTCTTAGTAAGGCCTAACAACAAGAGTTTACATGAAACCAAGATTCTTTCCAAACTTTTCTCAGTCCCCTAATTAGGGACTGAGTGAGGCTGGAGCCCTTTGAAAACAAGATGGCAGAACTGAAGAAGTAAAAAGCAGTCTCTCTCTTCAGCTTAGGGATGTCCCTCACCCCTTTCACAGCACCAAAGTTTCTTTGCAAAAATAGTATCTGAGATACAAAAGGAAAGGCAGATGTGCTTGTGAATGCATCTCGCCAGGGCCTCGTCCAGGATCAAGGGCTTTACAAGAACAGAGGGTTGGGAGCAGCTGTTTCCAAGGTCTCTGGCTGTAGACAACAAAGAGCTGGTCCCCCACAAGGTCATGGTCTGCTAACTGATACAGTCTTCACAAGAGCTTTCGGTGGAGGATCTCCCAGACCATCCGCTTCCGGAAGTATGGCATGTGTTGCTGTAGGGACAGAAACACCCTTAATTTTCATTTCTTTTATCTAGACCTAATATTTCTTTTTCCATATTCCTTGCCCCATACTCCTTTCCTTCTCAAGGTTTTCAACTAACATAGTCTCAGTTGCATTCCTGGTCTTTCAAATTGTTTGTTCTTGATTACATGTGGTACTTTTCTTTCCATTGCTTTTTCTATTGCTATTTTCCATTGCTATAGCCTTAGAATGTATACTGGCCATCTCCAGGAGTCCCAAGGCTATGCTCAAATGTCTCCAAGAATTTTGAGAATGGTGTCTATCAAGTCCTCTTATGTTGAACTTTTAAGACGATATGAAACTGAGGCCTAAAAATGAAAACTCACTTTTTAAGGGAATAGTTAAGGGAACTTCAAGAGTCAGCTCAGACTGGTTTAGAAAAAAAGCTATGGTGGAAAAATCTGGTAAAGCCATTGATTCAAACAGAAGTAAAGAGTTAAATGGAGGCTGGGTGCAATGGCCAATGCCTGTAATCCCAGTGCTTTGGGAGGCTGAGGCAGGAGGATCACTTGAGGCTAGAAGTTTAAGACCAGCCTGGACAACATAGCAAGACCCAATCTCCACAAAACATTAGCCAGGCAGGATGGCATATGCTTATGGTCCTAGCTATTCAGGAGGCTGAGGTGGGAAGATCACTTGAGCTCGGGAGGTTACATAAGCTAAATCACACCACTGCACTCTAGCCTGGGCAAAAGAGTGAGACCCTGTCTCTTAAAAAAACAACAAAAAAAGAGCTAAGTGGCAAACATATCACAATAAGCCACAATCTAGATATCTACTTGATCTCAATCCACCTCAGTCCCTGAAGGACCACATTGACAGAAATGTCTAATCATACACTATGAGAAGACTGACCAGCTGTATCAAGTGACAAGGCAGGGGAGGGGGCAGCATAACAACTACACTACGAGATCAAGGTATGGCCGGTCCCCAAACCTGACTGCTAACTAAATGCAAGGAACGAAGAAAACTTGCTCTGATCCCAGTTCTCTGTTTTTTCTAGGATTTGAGGTAGGTGGGGGACCAGAGTAGAGAAAGTTCTGCTCTTGACTAGGATTCTTTTGCTATAATAAGTGATATACTGTAACCCAGGATGGGGCCTATCATTATCTTTCTTTCCTTTGTGATGTGGCTCAGGCAGCAACCGCCACTGTTATGAGTCATAGGCTGAGACATACTACAGGTCAGGGCAGAAGCCCCTAAGAAGAGTAAATGGAGAGAAAAACATCTACAGGGCAGCTTGGAGACAAGGTGATCTTAAAGCTTCCTCCTGAAAGCTCAGCTCACCTGTGTGAAGTTGATTGGTCTGTCTTTGGTTATACAGTCAGCATATTTGCAGGCAAACATCCCACAGTCACTGCCATTCATCTGTTGTGGAATTTCCTGAAACAGCAACAAGGCAGTATCTTTCTAAGTTTCTTTCCTTCTTAGATTAAAAATAAGAGCCAAAGGACATAAATTTTCACAGGTTTCCCTGAATTTTGAACAGATGACCTTGGTCCACTCAGGACAACAGAGGCTCAAAGAAAAATAATATAGCATTTCAGTCAGGCCTGTGTACCTCACATTGATCACACAGGAGAATCTCTTAGACTTCCATGACACCTTAGGGTGTACAAACTGGTCCCTTCCCCAAGGGCAAAATAATCATTGAATGTTTCCCATAGGAGTAAAAAGCTTAGCTTAGCAAAATATCTGGGCATTTAGAAAACCTAGCTGTGCATAATAAAACACATTACTGTTTTCTCATAAATAATTTATCTTCCTTGAAGAATCAAAATATCAAGCTGAAGTCAGGCTAGATACTAAGAAGAAGGTCCCTAGGAAACAAGCAAATCCTTTCCTCCCCAAATACCCTACTTTGGGATTTCCATCTCATCAAGATGAAATGTACCTGGCTTTTCTTGCTGAAGAGCTGCCAGCCATTGATGTCAAACTCTTTCCTTTTCTTGTCAATGCTTTCTTGCTTTAGGTATTGCCTAAAGGTATTGGGAGAGAATGAGATGAGTGGTGGGGAACACTGAAGACAGCTGCCCCTCCTAAGAATGGGGCTGACAATCCTTAGGAAGAGTTTTGTCTGCTCTTCTGAGAAAAACACTATATAATGCTGGGCTGGGAATCCTTGGACTGCTACAATTCCTCTGGGGCTGCACCTGTCTCTCCCAGCTCTTGCAATTAATGCCCACTTTGTCAACCCAAGAGGAACATGACCTCTGCCCCTAATACTCAAGCTCCTTCTACTTACTGTTCCTCCTGAGGAACAATTTTTAATTCGTTTCCTTAGTTTACATGGTCCTTTAGAACTCAATCTAATGGATGCAAAATGTTTCTATAGCAATATTGAGGTATTTATTTACTATTGTTAGGCTTGGTTCTCCTGTGTGAAAATTCAATCCAAATCAACAATTTATTGAGTGCATACCTCCTATAGAGCACTCTTTTTAAGTGCAAACTGTTTACCATTCCAGAACCTATCTCACCTTGGCCATAAGGGTGGTACAGAATAGGTGTTTTGGAAAGAAACAGGTGGGATATAAAGAGATTTGCATTCTGGTTCCCAGCTGAACCACTAAATAGTAGGACCTGGGCAAATCAAAGTCACCTCTGTGGGATTCGGTTTCTTCATCTAAAAAATCAGGAGGTTGGATTAAATGATTTCTAAGTAGTTTATATATCCACTCTATATTTGAGTGCACTAGGACAGTAATTGCCTCCATTAGGGCATATTTTGATATTATTATACTAAATATTTTTAAACTTTACTTAGATGTAAAATATCCACTCCTATTTAATATAAAGATTTTTCTTTATTAATTAATCACTCCATTGAAGGTATCAGAGAACTAAATTCAATTGCTGGAAAAACACAGCATACACCCAACACCAAATTCTTCTGTCTTCATCTCCATACTTACAAGAGGATTCTGCAGGCTTCATTGTTTATGCCACCCATAGAATCATAATAGATAATATTCTTCTTTCTAAAGTCTACAACCTGGGAATAAGAAAAAAAATCTGTGTTTATAAAGTGAAGAATATTGGTTTCTTAGCTTTCCCCTCCCCTGGCCCTTGGAACCTTTTCCAGACTTCCTACAACACTGTCACAAGTTTGAATGATACTTTGCTTTATATTATGCTTAATCTGTAGACGAAAGAAGAATGAGGGGTTATTTACATAGAACTATGATGGGGGCTAATAAACTGAGGTCCCATTATTGCCCTGAAACTTTTTTCTAATGTTTAGGTTCTCCCTCTGCAAGGTGGGCAATGGTGAAGAAACAACATGCTCTTCAGAGAATGTGAGTATCTGGAGGTTATTTCCATACAGTTCCAGAAAGATGGTGAAAGATTCTAGGTTTTCTTTCTTTATTTTGAGAATTTCCTATTGACTTTATGCTTTTCAAATGTAATTCAAAACAGACTGTGAAATAACTTTTATTAACACATTAAGCTAATGCACCCATGCTCTCAGAGAGTCATAAAAATATTAAATTACCAAATATACAAGGCAAGTCATGATTAGACTGAAAATAATAATGACGGAATCTGAGTTGGCAGCACCATTAAGCAGTCATTTTTTCTCCCCATGTCTTGCCTTGAGGCTGCTTAGACACTCTATAACTCCCTTTGAAATATTTCCAGAAAAGGAAATTCCATAGCTTTCTTCAAAATCTACGTATCTCCCACTCTTGATAGGAAATTCACTGATCTGACTTTTAGAGAACCTATTACTCAAACACTACTCTTTCTCAATAATCAATTAAAGGTGTAGAACTGCTACCCACCACCTTCTGTTGTATTCTATAATACATAGATTTCTTTTAAATTTTGTCAAAAATAAAAGAGGTACTCACAGCTAGACACCAGTGCACTCCCAGGTGAATGGGTACCAAAAGAATGTCAACAGAAAATACATCCACTTTCTTCGTCCAACGTTTCACTGCCTGATAACCAGCCGTTTTTAACTTAGTAAAGAAAAAGGTATTAAATGCATGCACGCTTGGTAATCCCTTCTCTTTACTTCGCTCCATCAGCATATTCATGTAGAAATTGATGATCTGTGGGAAGAAATTATATGTATTGGAATAGACACTGAGTCCTTTCAAAAACAGTTGTGTTATACGAGGAAAAAGCAGTTGCTGTATTGAATAGCATATTACTGTTTCCTAATCAGTTCAATTTAGATTTTAACACCCAACAGCCTCATGTCCCTATATAAAATTCTGACTACAAGGGAGAGGGTTGAGGTGGTTGTAAACAGTCAAAAGAGAAAGCTGGTGTGTACATATTATGGGGTTGGGGATAATGGGCAGAAGCTGGCCAGACTTGTAGAAGACTGAGGAGAAAGGAGTGTTAGAAGGTGAGGCTTACAGAAAAGGAAAAGAAGGTGTGCAAGTGGTTTAGCAGGCACATTAGTTATTTTAATCTATTGGAGCTGTGTGAGCAACTTAACTAGATCCTGAGCTCAGAGCCTAGTGTGAACCAAGCTAAGATCAAGAGTTCAAACCTTATATGAAGGTTACCTGGTTTTTCACAAAGACAGAAAACTCTGCTCCATGGTTAAAGATTGCCCTTTCAGTCTAATAAGCCATCTTGCAGAGGCAAACTGTTTTGGTCTCGAGTAGAACTAAATGATACGACAAACTATCACATGTACTAGAAAAATGCCTAAAAACTGATAGTAGATCAGCAATGTCACCTTTATAGAGGCAGACATAATTGTAGTTAGTGTTCTCATCTTTCTTGATTTCATTTATGTCTTCAATATCAAGTGTGAGCAAATGAAATTAAAATGCCTGGGAGGGGAGATATGTGATTATTTCTGTTAATGAAACAATGTCTTCTCTAATAGTGACTATGTTATCTATGGTTCCATTAGGCCCAGAACTCCTTGGTACTAAAACTTGAAAGTTATTGTGCCGGAAGTTACTGCATACTTGCTTTATGTGGCCAGCTGAGGCCAGGCCAGTGTCTGTCAACTGCATGGAATGAATGGGCTAACTGATCCACAGCTTGGAAATATGACTAAGAAAACAGGCACATTTTTCAGAATGCTTTTTGGGGAATGGGAAAATGCCCCCATTCTTGGACAAATATTTACACATCAGGATGCCAGAGCAGTGAGCTACTGCCCAAAAGTAGGCAACTACATACTGGACAGGCAGCAGGGAGCACTGCCAGGAACACACTGGAGCATGGCTAGACCAGAGAAAGGGCCTATAGATGAGGATGCCTCGGCAGCGGCTGGGAAACCGCACTTGCCGTGAGGCAGAGCTCTGAGGTAAAGGAGGCCAGGAATGAAGAAAGACACTGTTCTGCTTGCAGCTCCGATGACTGAACAGCAGGCCCAGAAGATGCAGATTTGTGGATAATTCTGTCTAGTGTGCTACCCAACAGATAACTGGAGCTCAGAGTTCAGTTGTTTTAAATAATGGTGATAAGACAATTAGAATCGTCTATTTCTCAAATCTAGGTTTTCCGTCTAACTTTGCACCTGAGGATAATGGTGCTAAAGGATGCCTCTACATTTGAAGGGAGCCACAAATGCTGTAGGATCTGCCCAGCAAGCACAGATTTTTAGGCTGTAAACTATGTTCTCTAATGAGAGAAAATCAGGAAGAAGGGATCGATTGATTCCTCTGGCCTTCTACCCATCCCATAATGTTAGCCATGTTATAAGGCTAAGCCCTTCAATCCAAAGGGTATAGTGAATAGGCAGATGAGCTGCCAGTCTTTGCAAGCCAAACCTTCCACAGGGACAGACAACTCATATATCATAACAGGCAATAAGGACTAAAACTCCAAAGTCAACTAGTTAACTAGCTGTAAGGAGTGATCTGGGTTCTTTTTCATTTCCCCTGTACCCCTGTAGGAAGGAAGGAGTTTGGTGGCCTCAATGTTCCCTCCCATTAGCTGAGAATGTGTAATCTGATATCTGAGGCAGAATCTGGACCCAAGTCTCTCCCCTCAATCTTTTAGCTATTATTCTATCCAAATGAAGAAAATTGCCATAGTTCAAAAAAGACATAATCGTATCCCCCAAAAAGCTAGGGTTAGAGAACAAAAATAATTTTACATGTCATCTCACAGAGGAGGGCTGAAGATGAAGGAAAAAGAAATGAGAGAAGGGATCACAGTGTTCAAGATGAAAGAGAAACAGTGATGGTCACAGCATTTGCTTATATTTTGTGAAGACAAGGGTCCCCTCACCCCCTGGCAAGAGCCTTTTCTGCACACAAGACTCTCTTAGCTCTAGTAGATCCTAAATTCCCTTTGAAATAGGGCACTAAAAGTAGATCGGCCCCATGCCTACTGTTTGTCTTGCCAATATACCACCATCTGAGGAATACTGCCAATGTGGTTCACTTGTCACCCTTTCTGGGGCCCACACTTGCCTCTGTTTGCTCGCTGTGGCTCCTGGTGCCTAAGGAGCTGCCCTTCCTGCTGCCTTCACAGCCTTGGGCATGAGCGTCTGCTTGTCTATGCAGTCCTGTTTAGGGATGGGAGGGTTGTTTATAGTGTCTTATCCCTTTGTGATTTTATTTGAAGCGCTGCCAGGCTGAAGCTGAAAAGAGCTTCTCTTTAAAAAAAAAAGCCTATAATGTTTTCAAATTAAGGATTCAACCCTTTTCCTGTATGTTACCACAATGACATAAATGACCATTGCTATTTGTATCTTCCTTCTTACCCAGTAAATAAGCCAAACTATTGTTTTCTCATACATTTAAAAATAAAACATTTTATTAACTGTAAAGTCTTGATTTTTTTAACGCTTCCCGTGTTTACACTTTGAATCCTTCTAATTGGCTTGGGAAAAAATGTTCTAAAAGTCCTGGGCATGACAAAGCTCCTGAGCAGAGACCACGACAACTTTTAGAGGGACAAAAGCCATATTTCCAATTTTACCTCTCTAGATTTTCACCTTGACCTTCCCATTCCGATTTTTAAATTAAATTTACCCTTGTCAACCACAAAGCCTCAAAGACTAACCAAATGGCAGCACTGAATATTACGGTTCAAAAGGTCCTTCACTCATAGCATCTGACCTAATAACATTAGGTCAGAAACCAAGAAGGCAGTCTTCCCTCACTGTGAACATGCACATGGGATTTTTCTCACATGCAAATTCGAGTAACAAGTTATTAGAATTACTGCTAAAGTTTTAGAGAAAGACAAGCAAGCAACACCTATGTTTATGGAGTTACTCATGGAGAATAATTACTACTCTCAGTATGACCCCACAAAAATCTTTGGTTTATCAGGACTAGTTCCATTGAGAAATACTTGAAAGAGGTAAACTATAACAATATGGAAGCAAAGAGTCATGTTAGAAACACTAAAACTTTAATTCTGATGATTTCACTCCACATATAAGACTGTATAGCACATGATAGATCCACCATATTCACGTAACTATTTTATTTTGCCTAGTTTTTTCCCTTCTTATGCAGTCAGCTTTTATTCCCTAAGGAAAATCTATTCCCAGTGCTAGGTTTGTCTAATTGAACTTACTGTTTTGCAAGCTGTTTCCTCTCTTTACTGAGCATAACTCAGATTTAACTACTCCTTGGAAATAATTATCAAGCTATGACTGACCACTACCAATTTCCCATTTCCATCAAAGATGTGCATTAGAAAGTTAGAATGCTAGACAAAAAAGTTTGTGCTCCAGTTCCAGATCCTGATTCTGCAATAAAAATCAGGAGATCTTAGTACTTCCTTGTAAAGTCTTACTTTTTATTTTCCCACTACTAATCAAGAATACTTTCTCTATATACCAAGATACTGTGACGCTAAATAGAAAGATATCTCTTTCCTTTCAAAGACTAGGCTTACAAAATAGATAATTAGTCTGCCTCGTTAACTGTGGCTTCAGTGTAGTTACAGTCAGCTAGGTAGATTCTATCTTATTCCTCCTTCACCATCCTCCTGTCCCCCATATTTGCTATAAGTTTCTCCCTCATGGCCTTTCACTAGCCGATGAACTTAGAAATACAAAATACAGTATTCCAACAGTCCAATGCTTGTCCAATTGGAAACAACTGGTAATAATTAGTATGGGCTTGCAGAATGGAACAACAACAACAAAAATGACATATCTGCTTGCTATTTTACCAATTCATCCACGTAAATTAGTAGTAAGAAAAGACAGGGAGAACAGGGAGGGAGAATAAAGAGACAGGAATTGCTGCAGCTATCTCACTTCTCCATGTGAGATAGGGCATATAGGGCTGAGTAAAAGAAAAAGTATTTCTGGCATGTAAACATTTGGGTGCATGGAATCCATCTACCTGTTCCAGTCTTCCACATCCTTACTGATTTTCTGTCTAGTTAGTCTATCAATTATTGAGAGGCACTGAAATCTCCAACAGTAATTTTAGATTTGTCTATTTCTTCTTTTATTTCTATCAGTTTATGCTTCACGTATTTTAAAGTTCTGTTATTAGGTGTACACATATTTAAGTTGTTAAACATTCTTGATGAACTGAACCCTTTATGAAATATCTGTCACTGGTAATATTCTTGTTCTAAAATCTACATTGTGTAATACTACCACTTCATTTTCTTTTGATTAGTGTTTGCGTTGTATATTTTTCCATCTTTTTACATTTGTAAACCCATCTGCGTCTTTACATTTAAAATGGTTTCTTGTACACATCTTTTTATCCAATCTGACAATGTCTGCCTTTTAACTGGATATTTAACCTATACTGTCTACCAGGGTAGCCACTAGCCAAATGTGACTGTTGAGCACTTGAAGTATGACCACTCCAAATTGAGATGTGCTATAAGTATAAACCACATGCTGCATTTCAAAGAGAAAGTAAAATATCTCATTAATAAAATTTAATATTGATACATACTGAAATAACATATTGAGAATTGAATTGAATGACTTCTGGAATCCCTTCTAACTTTAAGATTCTAGGTTAATGATCCTGAGAACAGGACTGCTTTGGGCTTTGTGTTTCTCTTTATAGCTAAATAGTTTTGCTTCTTTAAGGAACCTAAAGATTGTTTTATAGAGGTACATGGATATATTGGAATATAAAATTTA